CTAGAAGTGAAAAACTGATTGTATATAGAAATATGCTCTGAGCTTAGAAGCATTCCTTCTTTAAAACATTCCTCATAAAAGTCACTAGAAGGCACATTACTGCCATCTTTAGATAGTTCTCTTTTAAGCCTGGTTAGTTCATCTACAAATTGACTAGCCTGTGGAACTTCTCTTATAGGCTCCTTCCTAACTCTTAGGGTTCTGCTCTTTTTTATGGCTAAGTTAGAGATGTTCCAACCTCTTGAACCATGGTCTTAGTAAATTTTCTCTTCTTTGTGATTTTTACACTTTGCTTCTTCCTAATCTCCTTCGTTCGTGCCATTTCTAGAGATACAAACTTAATAAGAAAGGGAGCTAGGTTATGGATTAAGAGGAGTTTAGTAGGAATTTAAGGTGTGAAAAAGTGTTTGTAAGTGATGGGTAATGAAATTGAAACACAATAATGGTCAGAGAAAGATTAGGGAGGAAGTTAAGAATTAAATAGAGTTGTAATGGTCAGATTTTTAGAAGTTAGAATGTTTGTGGAATAAAGAATCTGACATAAAGTATATGTGTGTATATATATATAGTTATAAGCCTTCATGCGTTATTTGTCACTTCATGAGTTCTTGTAGATGTTTCACGCTTGAAAATAAGACATTCCATGCTTGATCCATCCATATGATGAATTTATAGAATTTTGAGATTTTAGCTCAAGCTATTCATGTGTGATCATAAAACATTTTCATATGTGAAATGTCAAGGGCAAATGAAGAAGGCTTTCAAAAGTGAATTTAACACTTGAAAGCTCCCAACCTTTACGCTTGATTTGTCATGACTCAAAGGGTATCTCTCTGTAAGATGATTCATGCTTGAAGGCCAAAAGCTCTCACACATGACTTGTCATGACTTAAGGAAGGTAGCTTTCTGTGTGACATTTCATACTTGAAAGCTACTTGCTCTCACATGTGATTTGCCATGCCTTATGAAAGCTACTTTTTTGAAAAGCATTTCAAGCATGTGAGCTACATAAAATCACACTTAAAATGTCCTAAAACATCAAAAATGGCTCTCTTTACTCTAATTCTAACTAAAGATCAAAGTATAAAGAAAGTAAAAGAATGTAAAGTTAAAACTTAAAAATTTATCATAACTCATTGGGATTTACCATTAGTTAAAACTTAAAAATTTATCATAACTCATTGGGATTTACCATTCCTAATTCTCTTCTTATAAAGGTAAATTGTTCTTCAGCTAAAGGTTTAGTGAAGATATTTACTAGTTGCTCAGTTATGGGATAAATTCCAATACAACGTCCTTTTGCACATGATCTCTTAAAAAATGATGCCTTATATCAATGTGCTTAGTTCTTGAATGTTGGGTAAGATTCTTTCAAGATTAATGGTACTTGTGTTGTCACATTTGATTGGAATTTCCTTGAGATGAATTCCTAGATCTTTCAATTGTTATTTCAACCATAAAATATGTGCACAATAGCTTCCAATAGCCAAATACTCGGCTTCACATGAAGAGAGTGACATGCTATTCTACTTTTTGCTGAACCATGAGATAAGTGAGCCTTCAAAAAATTGGCATATTCCACTTATACTCTTTCTATCAGTCTTATAACTAATATGATCAACATCTGAATAGGTGATTAGATTAGGCTACCTTCTTTTAGGAGAGTCCTAATTGTGGTGTGCCATTTAGGTACTTAAAGATTCTTTTCATAACTTTTAGATGAGACTCTCTTGGATCTGATCAAAATCTTGCACATATATAGACACTTAGCATAATGCCAGGTCCACTAGTAATGAGGTATAGTAATAATCTAATTATTTTTCTAAATTTGGTTTGATCCACCTTCTTCCCTTTATCATCTTTATCTATTTTGATAGAAGCACTCAAAAGGATATTGCTTGGATTGGAATTTTCAAATCTAAATTTCTTTAACAGCTCATATGTGTATTTGGTCTAGCTTATGAAGATCCCATCTTTCATTTGCTTGACTGCAATCCAAGGAAGAAGTTCAGCTCCCCTATCATGGACATCTCAATTTCTCCTTACATAATCTTAACAAACTTCTCACAAAGAAATTCATTAGTAACTCCAAAAATAATATCATCAATATAAATTTGAACTACTAAAATATCACTTCCTTCAACTTGAAAGAATGAGGTTTTATCTACTAAACCTCTTTTAAAGTTTTTATTTAGTAGGAAAGTACTTAACCTATCATACCAAGCTCTCAGAGTTTATTTGAGACCATATAAGACCTTCTTCAGTTTGTAGACAGGATTTGGCAAGGTTAGATCTTCAAATCCTAGATGTTTCTCTACATAAACTTCTTTATTAATTAGTCCATTCAAGAATTCACTTTTAACATCCATTTGAAGAAGTTTATAGTCTTTTATGCAAGCAAATACAAGTAAAAGTCTAATAGCCTCAAGTCCAGCAACTAAAGCAAATGTTTCATTATAGTTAATACATTTTCTTGATTATTCTTGGGCTACGTTTTCTATTTATGAGGATGAGATTTTGATTTGCTTACTCCATATACATGCAAATCTACCTACTTCATATTTTCCATGTATCAATTTTCATTCCTTGCCTCTATCTATTTTTTCATCCTTGTTCTACTCGAATGAACATGCTTAGATGCTTCTTGATTGATATAAGTGTTTTATATAAGGCTATGCACATTCCCCATGCATTCTATGTGCATTAGATAGTGCTAAAACTTCCAACCATAAACAAACTGAAAGATGGGTGTTTGAAAATGGAATTTTTTGGACAAATAAATGGCATAAATGTGTAGATCTAAAAAAAATGGAGAAAATGATACCAAGAATGCATGAATTGGAGGTCGGATGGAGGAGATATGACCTCCGAAAGATTTAAGTCTGGCAGACCAAACTTGTCAGAGGAACCGAGTCAAGCTAACTTGGCTGGAGGTAGAAGATGACAAAAAAGACATGTCTTATGATCATTGGCTGGTCCACACCACTTAATCAAGGAGTTTGTTAGAGAAATCAGTTATATAGATATTGACTTAACTCATGATTCAGTTGGAGGAAATAAAAAGGATATAAAGGTAGTTAGGGGTCTTACATTATGATATGTATGATTGGTATATGTTGGAATATGATGATTTATTGAATAATTAATGTTTTATAATTGTCCCATTTGGCACCTCACGAGCACAAATTAGTATGTGTAGTAGATAGGGTTATTGGTTACTAAAACATTGTTTCTCCCCTTAGGTTGCTTAGCAATTTGCAAGTGAAAGTTGATACAGTAATTCATTTTAGAAAGTTTTGGAGGCTTAGTCTTATGTTGACTTGTATTCCCTTCTCTTTTGTTCATGTATTGAATTACTATATGTTGCCACATTTAAGGCTCATGCGTGTGTACTCTGATAATTTTTAATATATTTAATAATGTTGATTACTTGTTGCTGTGATTGTCGATTAGAAACTACATTTATGCAGATCAACATGTGTTAAGACATTTAAGTACAATGATGTTTTGGAATGTAAACTGTATATTCATAAGAAGTGATTTGAGAATGAAAATTGGGCTTTATAGTTGTCATCTGATTTGGGCTTCAGTTGCCCTAACCCATTTTTGAACACTTGAGATAATTTTGATAGCTAGAATTTAGAAGTTTGTTTTATTTAACCATGTTAGTAGGTTTGGACATTTTTTATGGTTTTGCATTGGAAGGAAAATTTTTAACCATGATAGTTTTTTTAAAGCTAAGAAAAATTCTTTTCTATCATTGGTAATGTTTTGAGTTAATTAAGTTGCCTTTATAATTATGGTAGAGTTTTCAAATTCTTAGTTTTCCAAATTTCGGCTTAGTTATCATAATTCTTCTATTATGGTTAGTTTTTTAAATTTTGAGAAAGACCTTTTTTTAACTGTAGTAGATTTTTTAATTAATTTTTTACCATAATAATTGATTTAATAATTTTATGATTAAATCATCCAGTATAATAAAGAGCTTGATATTGTTAGTTTTTAAAAAGAATGTGTCACATCACAGGAGCAAGTAACTAAACTATTTCGCAATTGCTTAAAGGAAGCAAACTGAACAATTTGACTAGTAATTATTTTTCTCAAGGCTTCGATTAGAAAAAAATAATAGTATGAAAAATTCAAACGCCAGTGCGGTTATACGTCATATTGATAATGTATCAGTCTTTAATTTAGCAAGAGAATTGGAGAAACCCATGTGTAAATTAACTCCATATAAATTTTAGCACTATTTTTTTTTTAAAAAAAAAGAATTCATAGTTTCTTTAAATAAACAAAACAGGGGACAACTTCTCCCAGGTATTCGCTTTCATAAAATAAATCCTCACAAAAAAAAATAATAAAGAGTTAAAAGGAAAATTCACCTTAAATTATAAATACAAAAGCATTTAAGATCTTAAACTTATTTTTGATAGAATATCCCTTTCAACTTTTTAAATTGGTGCAATATCGTCCCTATCGTTAATAAAAGTTAACTGTTAGTTGACTAAAATATTACAAAAAATAACCTCAAAAATTATATAAAATAGCCAAAAAAATGCCCAATCATAGACAAGGATACCAAAAAATGTATAATTTATTGGTCAATTAATTATCAAAGTTAATATTCATTATGGTAGAAGCAATATTGTAATGTTTTAAAATGTTGAAGGGAAAAATTGCATCAAAAATAAATTTAGGATTTCTAATGCTCCTAAACCTATGGTTTAAATTCCAATTTGCCATTTCATCAAAAAATAAAATAAAATAACTCAGAATTTAGAAGGCATTAATTTTTAAGAATGGGGCCCAACCCAGTATTTTTAATGTTGTTGGTATGTATTTGGAGTGCTGAAATATCTACGGAATTCAACCCTTGTGTTGTTGGTCCATCTTTGTTGCCGTAAAAAATGGGCAATCTGACATCATTCTGCACAGCTTCTTCCTCAAGAAATGCTTCATTGACCAACCAGCTAGAGAAAGCTTCTTTATAATCTCACATCATTCTGCACAGCTTCTTCCTCAAGAAATGCTCATTGACCAACCAGCTAGAGAAAACTCATCTATAAAACCCTTCACATAGCTACAATAATAATCTGATGAACCATACAGATCAAAACAGAAACACCTAATGGAAGAGAAAGCTAATAACCAAGTTGTGCTTTTAAGAGTTTGGTCAGGCGGCCCATGCACAAGGGTTGAACTAGCCCTTAAACTCAAGGGTATACCTTACAAATACTTGGAGGAAGATTTGACAAATAAGAGTGAATTGCTGCTGAAGAACAATCCTGTGCACAAGAAGGTTCCAGTGCTCTTGCACAATGACAAAGCAATAGCTGAGTCACTTGTCATCTTGGAATACATCGATGAGATTTGGAATCAAACCCCTAAACTCTTGCCTCATAATCCTTATCAAAGGGCAAAAGTTCGCTTCTGGGTCAATTATTTTGATCAAAAGGTTAGTATCTATTACTCTTCCTCAATTATTTGGCCTCACAATCCTCTTTTCTGTGTAATATTACTTTGAAGTGGCGTTTATACTGATGGATTTAAATTTGTATTTTAAATTTAAAATCTCGTATTTAAAATTTATGTATTTCAAATCCTTAGTTGGAGAATAATACAAAAAAAAATAAAGTTAAAGAAGAAGAGTTCAGATATAGGCTTGGTTTGGATGAGGTGAAAAGTGGGGGAAAAATAGGGAGCAAAGAAAATTATGATAAGAAATTTTTAAAAATATTATTTTTTAAACTATTTTTAAGAGTTTTCTCTTCTAGTTTTCCATTCTTCATACTTTTCTTCTCATATAAATGAATGGTTAACAGGAAAAAAGAAAATTTGGAATGACAAATTTATCTCTATTTTTCAACTGGTGAAAGACAATAATGAGAGATGAGAGAAGGAGTGAAAATGATAAAGGCACTAACATTGAAGATGTGTGGAGAACAAAACAGTTAGAATAGTTCGGATTTCAAATAATTAGAGTACACAAAAAATTCAAATTACAAAGGAATATAATAAGAATTGGATTTGGATTTTGCTTTGGATCAAATCTAAAATCCATAAATTTTCATGTATTTAAATGAGAGATTTGATCCAAATCCAAATCCATATCTCCATTAATTCAAACATGCATCGTGAATTTAATAAATTGATATACTAAACGTTTGATTGTTCTTAGATTCTAATAAAAACTGATTTTGCTTATAGATCCCTCCAGCTATCTACCCCATCTTTTTATCAAGAGGAGAAGAGAGACAAAAAGCAATTGAAAACTTGAATGAGATGATTAGAGTTTTCACTGAAGGGGTGAAGCAGGATTTTGCTGATCAGGAATTCCCTTATTATAATGGTAATAAGTCCTTGGGACTACTTGATGTTGTGGTGGGAGCTCATGCTTGCAACTACAAGGTCATCAATGAAGCTCTGGGAATGGAAGTGATTCATCCTCACATGAACTCAGAGTTCTTGTCATGGATGGATTCCTTGAAGGACCATCCTCAGGTGAAGGAGACACTACCTCCTCATGACAAGCTCGTGGCCAAATTCATTGAGAAATTTGGTCCTATCAACTAAAGCTTCTTGTTCTAATCACAGAATTAAATATAATCTGCATACAAATGCATTTCTTATGTTTCATTTTGTGGGTTTTAAGAATTGAAGATGGTTTGTTGTAAAATAAATTATTATCAACTGTTTCTTTGTATGACAAGAAAGTTGTATAATTGCTCCCTATTAGTTTGTTCACGGGATGAGGTGTCTGATTTTAACTTGAATGCATAAAACTTGATTCGATTGCCACGATTTGCCCCTAAATTTTTTTTTTCCTCCATCAATTTAGCTTTCATCTTTAAAACTATCAGTACAATGCAATCTATATATAAAAAGTACAAAAATAAAAAGAAAAAGGAAGAGAAACCAGCTAGTCAGTATACTCTTGTGGTGAGAATTTTTTGATTGCCAAGAAATAGGAATTTTTTTTTTCATTTCCTTAATTAATTAAGAAATTCTCCTAGTTCAGAAGTTGTATGGTAAAACAGACAAGCGCCAATCTTCAAAGAGTATATTTATGGGAAACTATTTCTATCAAGTACCCGAATTTTTACTTACGCATATTGCTCAGCACAATCATAATATTATAAATATCCAGTACACAGTAATCATTAACCAACCAAATAATTTTGTAGTTGAAGTTAAAGCACAAAAGGCTGTTAAGCCGTCACACTAGTAATGAACATTCTAACATAATTGATTTGATAGCATTGTATTTCTTCATTGTCACAGAAACAATTGTGTGAATCAATTTGTAGATATGTTAATGGTGAACAAGCTCGCAACAGACGACAAAATCCAAGAGACCAAACACCAACGACCATATCCACTACTCCAATGGATCTCCCATCACTCTTTACATGTACACATACAAAGTGTAAAATTTGTGAGTTTTGTCCTAGTAGCTCACTAGCATTAGAACATATCTTTAAGTTTAAACAGAGATTACAGATCATTCACTAATAAAATCTTTACATTAATAGCAAAATTTGATTTCCATGGCTTTATGATTTATGAACCAAGTTCTTGCCAATAAAAATCTCCTCAGCACTCATACCTTTAATAATTTACAGTGCACTTCCAATTTAAGGCCTTACTAGCAGCTGTTACTTAGGACTAGAGGTCTAGTTTGAGAACAAAATTGCATTGTTTAAACCTATTTTTATACTTTATTGGAAGAATGATAGTTATGTTTTAAAAGATTGAATTAATGATAATTAAATTCTCTTTAAAATTTTTTAAAGAGATGAGTAATAAATATTGATTCAAACAATTACAAAGAATAATCTTAATTATAATCCAAGAGTTATATTTATAACTAAAATACCTTATTTGCAATTGAAACTTTTAGCTTTGCAATTGTTTCAATCAATATGGGAGAATCACATTCAGGGACCACTCAAGCAAATTATTTATATACAAGAATTATCTCATTCAAGGGGGAAAAAAAAAACACAACTCCTATTTTAATAATAATCAATTTCGTATTGATTATTATTTGCAAATAATTTATTTGAGTGTTCCTTAGATATGATTCTCCCAATTATTATTTTCACCTCATTTTTAAGAAAACTTTGTCGAAAACTTAATTATAATTAATTTAATATTTTGTGACTGAAATTTCATTCTCCCTAATTGATTGGCGTATACATATAATTTTTTTTTCCTTTTTCCAAAATTCCTGCTGATACTAGCGGACTTGTTTTCTCGTATTCAGTACTAATCCAAGCAATTCAAGTCCCGTAGCATGGCAGTTTTGGTCGTAAAGACAAAGAATATGTCCACCTTGTTTGGTAGAAGTTTGGGTTTGCCCCAAAATATCGTCACTCTGGGCTTCTTGCGGCTGGTTTGTTCAAAGAAACAATTTCGGTGTGATTTCTACCAAAAAAATTAAAAAAATAAAGGTAGAGTGCGATTTTTTCATTGCTTTTGTAATTAAAATGTACAAAACTTTTGAATTTTAAAAGAGTTGCACAAGACTAGAGTTGAGAGACAAGCAGGGCTTGGCTCATATGAGCCCAACTCTCATAGGTTCAAACCCATAAATTCAGTTTTTCTAGTTTTAACTATTTTTTTTTTTTTAACTGAAACTATTTTTCTTAAACTCACCATTTATTCAAGTGACTCGCGACAAGACTTGTAAAGCCTTGCTTTCTTAAAAAAAAAATACTTTTAAAAAATAAAGTTCAACATTATAACATTACAAATTAATCAAAATTTTTAAAAAAAATTAAAATAAAGAAAATAAATCCAGATCTTCAATTACATCACAATTATAAGTTATTCTTTAACATGCTAATCACTTGATATATATACATGTATTAACTTGCTTAACAAATCAAATATCTAAATTAATAATCGTTTCATATTATCACACTATCACAAAAATGTTTTAAATAACAAATTTACCAAAAAACAAAAAAAAACAAAAGGGAGATGGAGTTTATGATCATAAATCTTATCTTAATTCATAAACTACCATGAAAAATGAATTACAAAACACTCACATTTCTTCATTTTTTTAATATACTTTTTTTAAAAAATAATATTAGCTTAGAGGGCCGCTCGAGCCTTGTTTTTTATAGGACATAATAAGGTTGTACAAATTTGAATATGCTAAAAATTCTTAATTTATCAAGCCCAAGCCTCTATAAAAATAGATTTAAATAAGCAATCTACTAAGCTCGGCATATATTCCCAACTTTACACAAAACCTCTCACCTTTACATTTTTAAAATTAACCTTCCTAACTTTTTATTTATTTTCACCATAGATTTTTCAACTATTTGTCTTGGCATGTAGTAGCTTACATCATATTTAATGTAAGATAATAATAATTTTAAAAGAATTTTATCCATATTTGTTCTGTTATTATTAGCTTACATCAAATGCCACATAAATTACTATGTATTTTTTTAATATAATATCACAATTTTTGTTAGTAAGATAAATATAAAATAATAATAAGAGAATCTATGGTAAAAATATAAAAAGTTAAGAAGGTTAATTTTAATTTTTTTATGGTGATTTTTCGCCAACTTTTATTCAACTTCCTTTTCCTTTCTTATACTTGGTGCATTGTCAATGCTTGACAGAGATGCTAGTTAGCTCAAATCATCAATACAAACATATATTTATAGAAGGATGTAAATGTTAGCCTTATATATTTAATATACTTGTTTTTAATTAAATCAAGATATGTATATTTTTTTTATAGGTTATGTATTTATAACAAATTCTTGTTATTGATATTGTTAATATATTAAAGTGCACATGTCTTGATTTGATTAGATAAAAATATATTAATTCCTCTAATGAAATTATTAAATTTAAGTACATAAGTTTTGCCCATTATAGAAAACCATGATATTTACAAATTATAGATAATACAATTCCTCTAACTAGATTCTGACTCCCATGTGCGGGACAGGAGAGTTCAGACAGAATGTGAAAATTTCAAATAAGAATTCAAAGTGGAGATAATGCCGTATTAATTTTGCTTTTTTTTTTTTCACTGTATGATTTCATAAAATTTGATGAAAAGGCAAAGGAAACTTGCTGAAAGCAAGCATCCGCATAGAAAAATTTAAACGATACTAAAGCATTATAGACGAAATCATCATCAATATACATTGAAAGATGATAATAGAAGTGGCAAACCCGTAAATGGTTCAAGTTTTCTTAAATTCTAATTCTCTTGCCATGCACAAGAGCACTAGCTGTCAAAAATTACCAATAAAATTATAAGAGGAGTTGCCAATTGAGCACCTAAATGAAATTAAATGACCAAATTTTCAATTCTCAAGTGCTGGATGCTTGTTTCCATATATTGTGTAATGATTATCCTTTATTTTTGTCAACAGAAAGTAAAGGAGAAATGAAGAAACAAAGTAAATAGTTTGAGAACATTTGAATTTGAATTTAAAATAAAAATAAGGGGATGGACCATTTAAAAGTTGGCTTGAAAAAATGGGGGTGAATGAAACGTGTACTCCTCCTCACTTTTTTTTTTCCGGTTAAGATATATTTTTGTTTCTGATTTTTTTTGTCAAAAAACATTGAACATCTTATACTAATAAGTGAGATAATTTTTTTAAATTATTTTTTCGAGTAACAAAAAATTATTCTGTTAATTAGCCATTAACTTCCTCATTTTCTATTGACATGATAGATGCATGAGGTACACATGTCAAACAAATCTATTTTAGTATAGGGATATTTATTGTGAGCATTAATATTAAATCATTTGACATGATGTTGTGTCATGAGGCTTATTAACTCATAAGTAACTTGAAATATTTATCTTTATTTTTAAATTGTACAATAATTTTATAATATATATAATTTTTTAATTTGATTATCATGTCATCATTTTAACTATAGGGCAAACTGGTTAGAGTATGTGAATCATGAACACCTAGCATTCTTAGTTCAATCCAGCCAATTGCAAAAACATTGGAAACACTATTGCTTCATTGCTTCCACTCACTTGAAACTAAGGAAAATGATAATTAAGAATCTTATGAGAATATTAATGCTAAATTAAGAATTTTAATACTGAAATATGATAGAAGGAATACTGAAATTTAAAAATATCAATATTAAAAAGTTTTAATTTAATATTAATATTTTTATAAGTTCTTTATTTATTATTTTTTCTTGAAATTATTTTAAGTACAGGGCATTTTTTTTCTGACACAATGGACGAAATTTTTAACTGACCAATGGATAAGAGTTGTGGCGTGAGACTTCCACATTTATCCCGACGCAATGGACAAAAATATGTTTGACTTTTTCATCAAAATGTTATTTAATATTATTTGATTTTGTATACACCTGATTGGACAGAAAGTTGCGGAAAGGGTAGCCGAAGTCATCGCACCAGATAAAAGTACTGTTCCTGCACTGGCTACAATGCATTGGTGCAGGAGATGGGGGCACGTTCTGCGCTCGTCATGGAATGATGCCTGAAATAATCTAGATTATTTAAATTTAAATATTTTTTATTTTTCAAAATAGAAAAATTATAAAATTTAATAAATCTAATAATTATTAATATGTACAGTTTATATTTAATCAAAAAAGTTCATATTTAATATTATTTTCTTTCACAATTTTTATAAATTAATTATACATATTTACTAATGATTATTTTAAATATGACAGTATAGTAAGTTAAAAATTTTAAATCAAAACAATATAAAATAAATTTATATGATTAGTTTATAAATATTATGAAAAATTTAATA